GAAAGTTGCGGTGACATTTTTATGAATATACATAAATATAGTCCTAGTTGATCGGGTATATATATATATATATATATATATATATATATATATAATTAATGAAAGAGGAGGGAGGAACCCAAAAAAGGCAAGCTAAGTGCTCATTACTAAGCTCAAGTCTAAGTTTAATGCCATTATAAATGTCACCGCTTCTTATTTTAAGCCTAGATATCCATTTGTGGCAAATTATATTATGCACCATGGTGCATAATCGATTATGCACCGCGCGTCTTTTTTTTAAATGAAAATTAACAGTGTTTATTTCCGCCGTTTCGTACCCTTTTGCAAAAAGTAACTATGTTATTCAGTGTCATTTTGTATACGCTGCAGTTTCAGTTGAACACAACTACAGTTTCATTTCGATATAACTATAGTTTCATTCGATATTTATAGACTCAAATATGTGAAAATGTTATTTAATTTTATTTTATATACACTATAGTTTTATTAAAACACAACTACATGATCATTTTGATATAATTACAGCTTCATTGTACAATATACACTCAAATATGTGAAATGTTATTCAGTTTCAGTTTATATACACTGCAGTTTCATTTCACTATAACTACAGTATCATTTTGATATAACTGCAGTGTCGGTTTGGATATACTGTAGTGTCAGTTGGTGTTTAATACACCAAACAGACGGACTCCGTTAACTCTAACGACGGGCCATTTCTTTACTTAAAGAAACGGCGCCGTATATGGGCCGCGGTGCATAATCGATTATGCACCGCGGTCTATAATATAACAACTGTCCATTTGTTTGCTTTTTGAAATGATTTATTGGAATTTATTTTCATTTGTTTTTTTACCGAAGTAACTATTTTAACATAATCTTTCCTTTACATTTTATATTAATATATATAGTTTATTATATTCTAACTTATGATCAATTTAACTAGCAGGTTGTCCGTTACAACTTGAAAGACCCACGTGTTCCTTGCCTAGTCAACCTAACATAACAACAAAAGATTTACCATGGCTAATTGGAAACTCAAGTTCAAGGCAATCAAGGTTCAAATTTTGGACAAGGACAATGAATAGGTCAAGAACTCTTGAATGGATACTTGTAAACACCTTCCCAGCTGAACTCGTCATCTCAAATAATAATACCAACGGTTGTGATCATCCAACAATCCTCCCAGTGGGGCCCTTGAGTGCACATTCAAGAATCCAGAATAACCCCACTTTTTGGGAAGAGGATTTGAGCTGCTTAGACTGGTTAAATCAACAAGCAACTCGATCTGTGGCCTATGTTTCGTTTGGGAGTTGGGTGAGCCCAATTGGGAAAGATAAGTTGATGGCATTGGCATTGGCTTTAGAAACTTGCAAAAGGCCATTCATTTGGGTGTTGGCAGCTTCATGGAGAGATGGGCTCCCAAAGGAGTACTTAGAGAGAGTGAACAAACAAGGACGAATCGTCGCGTGGGCCCCGCAAACGCGCGTGCTACAGCACGACGCTGTGGGGTGTTACCTGATGCATTGTGGGTGGAACTCGACGATGGAGGCTATTCAATTCAAGAAGCCACTTGTCTGCTACCCCGTCGCAGGAGATCAGTTCGTGAACTGTGCTTTCATCGTGAAGAAATGGCGTGTCGGAGTTCGAATCGAGGAGCTCGGTCCGAGAGATGTGCATGAAGGGTTGAGGAGTGTGATGGAGGATGATGATATGAGTGAGAGGATGAAAAGGTTGAATGAGGATATGATCACAAGTGCAATGGCAAGCTCCAAGGTGATGGCTAACTTGACCAACTTTATTTGTGATGTAACATCACAATGTCCGGGGCAGGGGAAGCAATGAAGTCTATGCAATATTAATTTCATGTTTATGGGTTTTACAATGGAATATCAATGTATATTATGTACACCACCAAGTACAGTATTTCTCTTTGTTTGAAAAGTTGTGTTTGCTTAGTATTAATGTGTTGTTGGATTGGAGTTGCGATAGAGCTCCACCATATTTATCTGGTTGAGAAAATGATGATTTGGCTGTTAGAGGCCTGATTTGAATTGGTTGGTAGGCTTGATATTCTTACTTTTTTGGTGGATTATTGGGCTTGATTAGACTTCCAAAATGATTGACACTAGAAGTCAATAGTTATGTTGTGCAACCGTGTGCACCATGCAAAGCGACGTCGTTTTAACTAAAAATGCGCGTCTCATTTAAAAAAAAATCAATTTTGATTCCCCTCAACAGCATTATGTTGTTCATTCATTGTGGATATTTAGTTCATTTATTTTGGATATTTAGTTCATTTATTCTGAATTTTGTGTTATTCATTCACCATGGATATATAGTTATGAATTTGTGGATATATAATTCAAATTATGCACAAAAAAATACTATTGCCGGGAATCGAACTTGAATTGTTTTTTTAAAGTGGAACGCACGTTTTTAGTCAAAGCGACGTCATTTTTGCAACCGTATGCACCTTTGCGCACTAGAAGTAGTTGAACTCCAAAGAGGGATTATTTCCAACAAGGCACTTCAGTGCTTATGTTTTAAGTGTAAAACCATGAAGAGGGAAAATGTAATCCTCATATCAAGTTTAGCTATCCAAAATAAGCTTAATCCCGGCGCGCGCACACATTGAGAGCGGCCCCTAGAAGAGAAATAAGAATTAATATGAGTTATCATATGAAATGATCAATGGATTTAATATAATTTTAAAAAAATATATAGTGATATTTTTGTAAATAATTTAAATTTTGAGTGCAAGTAAAATGTGTTAAAAGTACAAGTAATAGATGTAAGTGTACAAGTAAAATGTGCAAGTAAAATAACTTAAAAGTGCAACCATTTACACTTAATAGTGCAAGTAATTTACCTTTTCGCATTGGTGCCCTTAATGATAACGTTTGGTACAACTAATGATAATGTTAGATGCACTTAATATTAATACTAAGTATACATTATATTGTTGTACTTTTAATACATGTTACTTGAACTTTTAGTACGTTTTACTTGCACTTAGGTGCACTATTACTTGCACTTTTATTACAATTTATTTTCACTTCAAAGTTTGAATTATTTACAAAAATGTCACCATATTTTTTTAAATGTTTTTGCCCCATTAGATCTATCAAGATGGACAGCTGTGATAAGTTCAATTACTATTTCTCTCTTGGGCGCAAATTCTCACTTAAATTGAAAAATGAAAAATTAATGTTCGAAGTAGATCCATTTAAATTGAAAAATGATTCTCAAAATGCTTTGAAAGTGGGTTTGCAGTTGTCTCTGAAGTACCTCTATTATATAACTATTTGCACAATAACTCTATTATATAATATATATACACACACCTTAACATTATTCATTGTGATCAATACTTTAGCTATATATAAATCATAAATCCTATTGACTGAATAAAATTTGCTCATTAAAAATCCTAGATTTGGTGGGTGTTAGGCAAAACAAGTTGCAATGTGGGAGTGTAATTTATCCCTTAATTAGCTTGCATCGTCTGATCTCTGCCAGGGCAGTCACTTTTAGTGGGTATCTTTATTCATTACGTCCACATTAAGTACTACTTAATAATTATTATCTTTATCTTAATATTGACAAGTCTTTGATTAAAAGGGATTTAGGGTCAACCTTTATCTTAACTTATAATACAAAATTCTCATGATGACTTATTTAGTCTTTGCCATTGCTGTTTAAAAGGACATGTAATTTTTTTTTTCTAAGCATTTATTTTATAACTTAAACGCGATAATGAGCTTTGTATTATATGTGATTAAATAAATGCTAATGTAAAAAAGAAGAGTAAATAAATACTAATTGATAATATTCAAAAGCAAAAAATTTGTCCAATAATGTTAAATATTGTTTATGAATGTTTTCAGCGATGGTCCTCCGACTATATTGAATTTTTAAAATTAGTCTTCGATTTTTAATTCATGACTTCTCACGTACAAGGCTCTCGCAAAATTCAGGACTTCTCACGACTACGGCTTCTGAAATTCATGGGCAAATCTATGCTGGTCCGCGCCTCCATCTGATACGGTAAAGATGAACTTAGATGGCTCGGTTGATCTGCGCACAAACATGGCGAGCTGTGGCGGGGCTGTCAGAGATAACAAAGGGTCATGGTTGGCAGGGTTCATGTATAACATCGGCAATTGTTCCCCACTGGAAGCTGAAACATGAGCTCTCTTGAAAGGTATTCTACTCGCCAAACATTTGGGCTACACGAAGATCATCTTCGAAACTGATTCCAAGGATCTATTCGAGTGCTTCAATAGCGGATATGTTAACAATAACGTGCTGCACAACCTACTATCTGCCTGTGCAAAGGAACTTCATACAATGGCCAGTTGGAGCTTGTCTCTTGTAAACCGTGAGCAAAACCGGCTCGCCGACGTCTTAGCACGCAAAGCAAAGAACCTCCCTAAAGGCCTCCACATTCTTTACAACCCTCCGGACGAGGCCATAGATGCCCTGCATGATGACCACGATGGCATTTCTCTTTGGCGACAATAGTCTGCCTCTTTCTTTTATATTCTGGGTGTCCCCCTTCCGACAGATATAAAAAAAATAAATACTAATTGATAATATTCAAAAGCAAAAAATTTGTCCAATAATGTTAAATATTGTTTATGAATGTTTTCAGCGATGGTCCTCCGACTATATTGAATTTTTAAAATTAGTCTTCGATTTTTAATTTGGACACTTTACGTCCTTTGACTTTCAATTTTTTTCTGATGGAAGTTCTTTTGGCAGATTACGATAAAATGGACTTAAAATGAAAAGAGTAAGTAATAATTTCATCTGCCTAATGTATAATTCTTCGTGTTTTTTCTTTGTATACGTGAGTTCAGACATCAGATTTACTTAATTGATTAATACCTACTGGAATTTTGTTCTTCAGAGTGAATTAAGAGACAATTCAAAACACAATTTTTGACGCAAGTATCTAAAAGTCAATAAGCTCTTCCAAATGCATTTCACAACTTTCCATTTTCTCGATTTTATTACTCTGCTGCCATCCCTAAGGTCAAAGATACAACTTTTCTATCACAACAACACTAGTCCAAATTTCTGTAACATTTTATGAAGATTCAAAACCTGAACCTGTAACCTTCATTAAAAACTATAAGCAGATACATCTAAAGAGCTTGGCAGATTCATCTAACATTTAGAAAACAGAAACAGCAAAAACCAAAAATGAAAGAATAATAAAGGGAGGGAAAAGAGAGACTGAGAGAGGCCCTAATAACCCAACTCAACAGCAGCATCAGATCTCCAGTGCTTGGCTTTCTCAAACCCATTAGTGCAGTTCTCATAATCCTCCACCGTCCGATCAATCTCCTCCTGAGTGTTCATCACGAACGGCCCCAACTGAGCCACCGGCTCCCCCAGTGGCTCACCACCCACCAGGATGAACCTGAGAGGCTTTGGTGACTTGTTGCATGCCAGCAGGCCATCCCCAGAGCCCCCCAGCAGCAGCAGATGGTGGGCTGAGGTGGGGGGAGACGATCTTGGGCCCGGGGAGTCTGCGAAAACGCCTTCGCCTTCCAACACGTACACAAAGGCATTGTATGTTCTTGGGATTGGCTGCTGGAGATTGGCCCCTGGGTTGAGTGTGAAGTCTAGGTACATTGTTGGGGTTCTTGTGTATATTGGGGACTTTACTCCCAATGCCTCCCCTGCTATCACTCTCACCTTTATCCCATCTCTTTCCCCTTCTGCTATCTCCTCCCTTGTGATTTCTTGATACCTTGGCTCTATCCTGTCAAATTATCAACAAAAACGTACTTGTTAGGATCAAGCATTTACGGTTAGGCAAAAAGTTTTAGTTTTTGAGCCTATGACTGGCCTCTGGTACCACTTGTTATGATCAAACGTTTACCATTACGCCGAAAGTTAGAGCTCGTAGCTACAGTTGTCGAAGTGGGCCGAAGCCCGCCGGCTGCCCCGCACTTGCCCCGCGGTAGGGCTGATTAGGGTCACACACAAAAATGACCCGCGAAATAGCGTGCCTAACGGGCCTGGCCCGCTAAGACCCGTAGCCCGCGGGCAAGGCCATATTAAAAGTAAATTAAATATACATATATATGTTACATAGAAAGGAAGAACACTACCTTGATGTGTGACATTATATATATATATATATATATATATATATATATATATATATATAACATTTAACGTTTTAAAAAATAAAATTTTATTTATTTATTTATTAAACTTTACTATGTCTTGTTAGGTAGACTTTACTTATTTTTTGAACTTTAAAAAAAAAAAAAAAAAAAAAAAAAAAAAAAAAAACCACAGGCCCAACCCACATGGGGCGGGCTAGGGCCGGCCCACAAAAGTCCGCCAGAAATTAGGCCTACGGTGGAGCAGGTTGGCCCGCTTTAATAGTACTATGTGTAGCAAAGGTACAACTTTATTTTTTTATACTGTCATATTTTCAAAAAGTAAGTGCTGGACTTGGCTCTTTATTGACCTCCGTCCAACAAACTTTCTAGCCATCAAATGTTAGATGGACTTGACCTTTTACCTGCCTCCGGCCAATTGTACTAAATAGGGATTGTGCTTGTGATCTCTTATCTTAAAACCGCGAGGTTGAAAAAGGGTTATGCTTACATTTTATGTTTGGAGGAGAGGTTGATCCACAATTGTAAGCCCTTTTGAGTTCCCTGAGCAGCAGGCATTTCTGAATGGACTATTCCCCTTCCAGCAGTCATCCATTGCAGGTCACCTGCTTCTATTGTGCCTTTATGTCCCTCAAAATCTTCATGTGTTACAGCTCCCTGCCATCACAACCCCACCCTTTAGCAACTTAGTTTCAACTATACAAAGTACTGATAGAATGGTTAACTTGGTAACCACCACAATGTTATAAGTCAATTTTTAGCGAGATCAGCCTTTTGGCTTTCCTGGTTTTGAGATGATAGTTATAGGCAACTTAGGCTAGTTTATCTATTTGTGGTCTTTTGACGAATAGGGTCACAAGGTGGGACAAATGACATATGATTGTATCTAGTATTATTGATATAGGATATTCTGGGTAGAAAAGTTCTAAATTAATTAATACAATACCAAAAGGAATGGGAAACAGACTTCCAGCTTGCAATCCCAATGGCCTACAACTTCATCATTAGTTTACTTAAATTAATATTTTTTTTTATTTACAATATGACCTAATCAAGTAGAGGACAAGGCCTGCAGTTGTGCATCCACATTGGGATCTCACTTTTCATTTTCCTCTTTAGAAATAAAATTAGTAGAATACTGTGTTGTTTTCTTGGTAGTTACACAATCACATCTGCTTAACCACTCCTTCAAAATTTGGCAATAAAAAAAACATTTCCTATGATGTTTTAATCTACAAGCCATTAACAACCCAGATACCAAAAAAAAAAAAAAAAACATGTGAATGAGGTTGGTCAATTGTTGACTTAGTAATTTGATTCTGAGTGAAAGTAGTTTATTGACTTTTTTAAGTTGACCCAGTCAGCTATACCTAGACTGATTTACCTCAATATGATATTTGTCAATTAGGGTGAATTTACTCAGTACACATCTTCAAATAGTATGGATTTTCCATGTCACTCAAAAAAAACATGTAAATGAGACTACAAAAATTACATAAAACACTTTTTTTCGTTTTACCTGTAACATATATGTGACAGTTTCAAATCCTGGAAAAATGGGGGGACAGGGGAAAAAACACACAAAATCAGTCATTTGACCCAAAAAAAAAAAAAAATGCAGAAAAATTACAGATTAATGTTGGATTCTGATCAAACCTCTGTGTGGGTGATCGGGGAAACCAGCAGGAGCAGAAACTGTATCATTTCAGATCAACAAAACATTAATGAAACACCAACCTTGATATTGTTCAACATATAAAATATAAATATTAATATGCAGTCTAACTATTAGTTTATCATTTTTAATTAAAACGAAACACATTTTTCAATTCGGTGTCAAAGCTGAAAAGAGACAATGATCCACATGTTGTATCGGTTTAGCATTTTAGTTGAAATGTAACACATTCTTGAATTGATACAATCAAGAAAAGCAAACTAATGTATGCATGTGATGATGAGCAAAACTAAAGAACAGAGCAATAATTAACCAACCTGAGAATTCATCCAAAACCAGGAAAGGGTCGAAGTATTTCAACTCAAACCTGGGAAAAGATTCAATCTTTATCAACAACAACAACAGAACCCCATTTCTGGAAACAAGAAATTCTTAATTAACAGAAAGAAAACAACTCCCAACTCCCAATCACAGTACCTTCCAATGCTTCTTCTGACAACCGCTCCAACGCCTTCATGCTGCGGCCTTGCAAGAAACTTCCGAACAACTTGGCGTGATTCCTTAACAACCGGCATTATGTTTTTTCCTTAATCAAATCGCTGGGTTTTTGCTTTCTGGTTTGATACTTTTTCTGGGGAATTTGAATATGTTAAAAAAAAAAAATTTAAAAATCTGGGTTTGAGAATGAAGCAAAGTTTGTGAATTTATAGTGGGGGAAGGGGGAGTCACTGGGCCCCACATGGCTTGGTTTACTTGCGATCAAGGGACTTGAATTGTGGTGTCTTTAGGTCCATGCCATAATCTTACGTCACCGTGACGCAGTGATGATGCCCCGCTTCGCCGTTGAACAGTCAAGCACTCTCCAGCATTTCATGCCATAATCTTACGTCACCGTGACGCAGTTATATGCTTTTATAGATTTTTTTTTTAAACACCCAAAGGAGGAAAATCATCACTTTTAAAATAATTGAGGAAATAATATAAATACATAAATAATTTATAGAAAGGAAAATTATAATCATATAATTCAAAGAAAAGTGTCATTTCTCATTCTTAAATTATTCACGTTACACTTTTTCACCACTGATTTTCACTAATGCTTATTAAAACCCTTTAAACATTGCAAAAGTTGTATAAAATATAAAAGAATTAATTTCACTTTTGGTCCCACGACTTTTGAGTTCTTATCACTTTTGGTGCACAACTTTGAATTTTTTCAATTTTGGTGCCTAACTTTGTTATTTTTATCAGTTTAGGTCCTTCTAGCCAAATTGACGGTAAAATATTTCCAGATTTTATATTTTAGGGGCAAAATCGTCATCACATGGAAAGATCTTCAATATTTAAACAAAAGAAAAATCATATTAAGAGGAAAAGAAGAGTTTGCCAATGGTCGAAACTATAAATCCCATAGATCTGTCTGGTTTCTGCCCATCTTCCCCATTATTCTCATCATCAAACACCTATAGATATGATTTTACGGTGATCTTGTTTAGATATTGAAGATGTTTCCTTGGGATGAAGATTTTACCCCTAACAATATAAAATCCAACAACATTTCACAGTCAATTTGGCCGAAAGGACCAAAATTGATAAAAATAACAAAGTTAGGCACCAAAATTAAAAAATTTTAAAGTTGTGCACCAAAAGTGATAGAACATCAAAAGTCGTGGGACCAAAAGTGAAATTAATTCAAATATAAAATAAGAATATAAGATGGATAGAATTATGATTTTTCACAATTCTGGCTTCTTATTCCCTCTTCCAAAGCAGTATGTAGACATTTCTACGAATTGGAAGAAGACCTGAGAAAATTATACACATTTTCTAAATTTGATAATAAAGTTTGTGAATTTCGTGACTCTTCTTCATAAGAATGTCTATAGACTCATTACTCATTAGAATGAAGGAATAATAATTGGGGATGGCAAAATCACAAGTCTATTTTCTTGTTTTAAAATTTACTCCATAAAAAATTAATAAGACATTTAACTTGGAAGATTTTGTCAAGCACAAAATGAAAAGGACCACCATTTAATAATTAAAGAGTGAAAAGTGCTACACGAATAATTTAAGAGTTAATTTCATTTTTAATCCGTTTATAGGTGACAATCCACTATTAGTCCTTTTTTATTAGAACATTATCATTTGTCTTAATATTATTGTGGTACGATCATTTTTAGTCCTCTATAAACAAAATTGTAAAAATATGATCATTTAATACAGAGACATTTTAATCTTTTTTATACAAAGTATGTTGAACCGCTATAATTTTTTATGTATTTTCTTTTTTTTGAAAACATTCATAATTGAAGACCAAAATATCTTTATATTTAACGATATTTAAAATATTTTGTTGATAAAAGAACAAAAATGATCACGCAACAATAATACTAGGATCAAAAGTGAATGTTCTAATAAAAAGGACTTAAAGTGGATGTCCTTTTATATATATATATATATATATATATATATATATATATATATATATATATATATATATTTGTTAGACCACGAGGTTTTCTGAGCAAATCATAACTGTAGGAAGCACCTTAAAATCAAATGAGAACTAGTCCCCATGTGAGAACTAGAGACTAATCGCGTGGTGACTACAAAGTGAAGTTGACAATAATACAAAAATATCATTGCATTTTTTTAAAATCTGACATGATTCGTTCGGTTTTTACAAACTGTTATTAAATTTTAATTCATTTCCTATTACATTTTTATTTTTATTTTATTTCATCATTTTGCTCAATCAAATATAGTTTTCAACTATTAAAATGTGTGATTTTATGTGATTGTTAGAACTAAATATAATTAATTTTGTTTTTTTTAATTACAATGAAAATGAGACTAGTTTTTCAACTAATTAACTAGCTATAAGAATTGTAATATTGCCACTTTAATGCAGTCACCTATCAAGAGAGCATAGATTAAATATTTTAAGGAGTATCATAATATTTGAAACCACGTAGAGTTTACGATTTAAATAAAATAATAAATTAATCTGCACAACACAATATATTAATTACTTGTGATTTGATGATTGTGAATGAATATTGAACTTCGAGATCAAATGTATAAATTTAAAACATATAGTAAATTATAATTGTTCATTTGTTTGTAGTGGGTTTGTCCATGATGCTAGCTTGTAGCTAGCTTATTGCCCCTGTGATGTTGTTGACCTTTTACCATCCAATGAAAAGTGATATTATCCCTCCATCGCCCTTTGATTCCCGTTTTCGCTGTCCCATCTTGGAATCTTCCACAATAACTTCTTAATCGGGAAAGCGTGGAGTATGTAATTATGTTTACTTTTTTAAAAAGAAAAAATATTTCAAAATATATGTTCCATGAAATAAAATAGAATATAGAAACCCACAAACAATGATTATTTAAATACGGAGTATGTAATTTCCGTGTGAACAATTGTTATCACATGGACTCGAAAGGTGGACATAAGTCTAAAACACGAGTTTGGAATAATGGTGCCGTTAATGACACCGTTTTCATAGCTAATGATATTTATTTCTTTTTTGATTATAGAGTTCAAAAATTGTGAATATATATTTAAAAATTGTGTTATACTTTTGATATAGTTGTGAATATAAAATTCTACAATTGTGAATATTGAGTTATGTAATTTTGTATATTGAGATCTAAAATTGTGAATATTCAATTCTAAAATTGTGAATATAGATGAACGAATTCTGAAGACAAACGGCAAGTTAACGGAAAAGAAGGAAGCAATTTTTTTAAAAAAAATTCATACGGCAAGTTAACGGAAAAGAAGGAAGCAATTTTTTTAAAAAAAATTCATACGGCGTCGTTTTGAAGCAAAACAATATCGTTTTGGACGCGAGTCTACCTGGGTCCACAACATAATTTGCCCCATGTGAATCAAACACATCTTTTCTTGGGTTTGTTAAACTTGGCAAATTATTATATGTATGGACCACAGTCTAAAACGACGTTGTTTTGATGTTAAAATAAAAAATAAAAATTGCTTAACGCGCGTGTTAGAATAATGAACAGTCTGGGTAAGATAATGCATGTTATGAGTTAGACTAATATAATGTACTTTATATGTGTTAGAATAATGAAATTTATGGGATAAGATAATAATGTATTTTATGATTTAGAATAAATGTACTTTATGTGTTAGAATAATGAAATTCCTGGGTAAGATAATGTATTTTATGAGTTAAAATCATGTATTTTATAAGTTAAAATAATGTACTTTATATTTTTTTTAGATCGTGGTCCACACAATGCAAGAATGATTGGTTAAACTTTGGTTGGGCTTCATAATTCACTTTTTTATTTTTTTTTCTTTTGCAAAATTAATAATGCAATCTATATACCACAAAAGAAGTAACTAAGTGGATAAAACATGATTCTTATATCAGAAGATCACAAGTTCAATTATTGCCAATACCCTCTTGCTCGAGCCCATTGCATCCAAAAGAATTGATCATATCTTTATGAAATAATATTTAATTGATTTTTTATATTTAAATAATAAACAAATTCATTTTATAATGTTTTGTGGCTTCAGCCAATTTACAATAGCCAATAAATAAAAATGATTTTATTGGCACATTAAGATGCGAAGACTAGATGAAAAAATAGCGTTATTCGGTACTAAATTTTGAAAAATGCTTCATTTATGATTTTAAACATAAAAAATAATTGGTTATGGGCGAAGCCAGTATGGGAGTAGTGAAGGCAGATGTCCCCCTCCCCCGCCCCACCTCACCCCTTGTATACAAGGGACCCTTGAATATATATAGTATATGTTTAGATATAACGTAACTAAATAATATAGATATATATTAATCAAAAATGAACTGCTTAGATTGTTAAGTATATGTATGTGTTGTAATAGAGGTCAAATCTTCACTGCTTAGATTGTTAAGTATATGTATGTGTTGTAATAGAGGTCAAATCTTCTCTGCTTGATTAATTGTTTTCTAAAAAATATCTCATTTATTTTAATCTTTCGCCCCAATTTGATGAAATTTCTGACTCCGTCCCTGTAATTAGTGTATAAAATTTTCATTACATTACACATGGAAACATTTTGAATATTATGTAATAAAATAAAACATTTGAAAAAGTAAAACACTACTAAAAATTAAAGTCAAAGAATATAGGTAAGTATAGAAGCATGTTGCAATAGTGATGAAGTTTTTAAAAGTGGAATAAAATCTTTAAAAACATATTCCAACAGATTTTGTAAACAAATGATACAAAATCCATAGAATCAACGCAGGAGACCAAAGCTTTCGTTTGATGCGATGATTAGGATGTTTCCTTGTGTGTGGGTTGGTGGGCCCATACAGGATGGACCATGTAAAGCTGAGGTGGATCTGACCTCATCGGATCAACAAACGACGTCACGTAAACAAAAGCATGACAAAAATGGACACAACTCTGTTTCTAGTAATCCATTGATTCTCACACGTTAGCACTACGTAATAAAATTTAATTATTTTTAAAAAAACTAAAGTTTTTATTTTAAAAAATCACTAAGTAATTGTTTATATTTTATAAAAACATTTAAGTTCAATTATTAAAATATAAATTTCTTGAATTTTTTTTTTTGAAAGTTACTGGCTCTATTACATTGTAGTATCTGTTCATATACTTTCTCAACCTACTGA